ACACACACACACACACACACACACACACTTAGTGTAGTAGTTGTCATCATCAGCTGGCTTGCGTCCGTAGGGCTCGTCTCCTCCCCGAGAAGCTGACCGTGTACACCACGCTGGTGGGCCTCCTCAACGCCAGGAACTATAACTTTGGCGGCGAATTTGTGGAGGCCATGATCCGGCAGTTGAAAGAGACTCTGAAGAACAATCTCTACAATGAGGCCGTTTACTTGGTAAAATAGCACAACACCTGACCATGTCAGGGGCCTTTTCGTCCAACTAATGCATCTTGTTTAGGTCCGCTTTCTCTCTGACTTGGTCAACTGCCACGTGATTGCCGCTCCATCCATGGTGGCCATGTTTGAGAACTTTGTCAGCGTTACACAAGAGGAAGATGTACCACAGGTATTTTCATTCAGGATGTCATACTGTATCTCGGTAGTTGATAAAGGTTCATAAAGTGTTTCTGTGTGCTTGGGTGCAAAGGTTCGGTCGGATTGGTTTGTGTACGTGGTGCTGTCCTGCCTGCCGTGGGTGGGCAAGGAGCTCTATGAGAAGAAGGATGTGGAAATGGACAGACTCCTCAGCCAGATTGAAGGCTACCTCAAGTAGGACTTGATGTCAACAAAACACGTGTCACCCTTTTGCAAAATCACACTTTTTTTTCTTAACATGTTACGGCCTATTTTCCAGAATAGGAAAATCTGACTCCCCTATTTTCTGCGCGATAAAACACTTCGGAGTATAAGGCACACCATCACTGAATGGCTATTTTAAAACTGTTTTCATACATAGGGCACACTGCCTTATAAGGCACATTGAATAAAAGCTATAGAATAATGGCTGCGGTTGCACTATGCATCAACTAGATAGAGCTACGCTAAAGGCAATACAATACTGTACAATACAATCCAGCTTTATTTATTTAGAGCCTTCACAACCGATGCAGCTGTAACAGCCATTAGAACTGGTCAAAAACACAGACACGAAACATATAAGTACAAATGGCATTACAAAACCACAGTCATTTTGAGCATAGAAAAGTTTTGGTCACATGAATATTTTTTGCTTTGTTCTTGTAAAGTCTGGCACACACAAGG